CAGTTACACAACACGCTAATGCTAATGGCACCCGGTTATGTCGTCGCGGTAAAATACTTTCCCACCCACGCCCCCGCGTGCTTTCAGGACGCCATTTTCCGTACTTCTTTTTATCCATTTCAATTTTTACTTTCAATAATGGCTTGATAATGAAATTGTGGAATCCATTTCGCGACGCCACCACCAAGGGCGAAGCATACTGCAAGTGTGACAGAGGCAGGCAGTCTTTCTCAAATAAATCTTTGCTGCACGAATGTCACAGCTGTGCCTCGGGGGATTGAGAATGGAGGTACTTTTAGACACGGACTCGGAGTGTGTTACTAGCTTGATGGGAATCTATTGGAGAATCCAATTTTCCCGATCATATCATCACCCCATCCCGGTGGGGATTCAATTCCGGATCCGACAATGGAAACTCGGTGAAAGTTGGCTCTTGTAGCTTTCCAATTGGGGCTCTTTATGGCTTTTCCATAACTCTTCTATGGTGGTTTGAGAGTGGAATGTGACACATTTTTAGATATTATGATTTAATATTAAAGCGAGAGTATAATGTCATGTTATGGACTCAATATTCATTTCACAAGCATTCAGTGTTTAAATGCAGCGTTGCTTACCTTTTACTGGTAGCAATGGAGTATTTACGATTTTTTCTTCTTCTTCTTCTTAGGATATTTCATCCTACATACTTAAAGGGTGGAACGGTCAAAAATTGGTCAGTCATGATTAACTGAATTTATATGTGCATTTTGTTCGTATATTGCGACAAAATACAGGCAGCTTATAAAACGTATCAACTAGATTACAACTTAAACAATAAAGGTTAATATTTTCAACAGGCCAACATCCTGACTCGTGTCAGTAGGTGAGATAACCAAACTCTGAATGTTTCAGCTCTTTTTGACGTTACACGAACTGGCGCTTTTGGTTTAGTGTTCATATAGGAGATTTGGTTGAAATTTTCATATACAAAATGCTCATATACATTCAATAAAACTAACTGGATTAGTGATGCAATCTTCAGCAAGGTTGTTACTCATTGTTTGAACTACAAGTTTTGAAAATCTGAATCATAATGAGAATAAGCGAACTTTTTTATGATCGATAGAGTGTAGGTGAGTCATTTTTCCATGTATTTTAACCAAATTGCCCATACAAAATTCAAACTAAAAGCGCCAGCTAATTTTAAAACCAAATGTGCTGATACTTTCCGATAATGGTTTTCTCACCCAAAGGCACAAGTCTAGAGGTTGACCCGTGGAAAATTAGAAATTTTATTTTTGTGGGCCAGTCTAATGCCTTACCTTTACCCTTTAGTATGTAATCTATGTAATCCTAAAGCACGGCAAAAAAAAAATTACAAATACATTCATGAGAGAAATTATCCACCATAATCATCATGATCTGCACGGACTATTGTGAAATTTGGCTGACAAACATAATATCACGTCCCATTAAGGAACTTCTAAGATGCCAAGAAACATTTATTTGATTTCAGAGAACTTCATAGAAGTTCGTGGTACTTCGTAAAAGTTCAGGGACCATCATCCATTTTCAGGATACTTCGTAGAATGTTAAACAACTTCGTGGACGATGATTACGGAACATCGCATGAATTATTTGAAATTCGTTCAAGTTCAGCAAGCTGGGCAAACAGTTAGTTGTACCTATCGAAAAATTAAAAAAATGTAAGCTATGGAAAAATCTTTGAAGTACTGGGAACTTCAAAGAAGTTGACGACAAATCCCAGGACTTCGAAGAATATTCTACATATTCAGGGAACTTTACAAAGGCTTTGAGTACATGGAACTGAGTTTAAGTTCAAAAAACTTCTTGAAAGTACACGAATCTTCGTATAACTGATATTCACGGATTTGTGATGATATCTCAGGATAGTATTCAAGACTTTCCAACTTAATCAAGTAATGTTCTGAAGATATGCAAGTATTAAAAAATTCAAAAGACGTCTTTTAGACATCCTTCCCAGACGGAAGTTTGAGTAGAGAGTATTTAAAGGACATACAGCTGGTCGGAGATTTGAAGACCTCTGGATATTTTTCGAGACTTCAGGTCGATCAATTATTATTCTTAAGATTTTCAACTGTTCGTAAAATTCAAATAACGTTTCTAGATAGTCTCTCAAGATTACTGGTTGGTCAGATATTAGTAAATTCAGATTGATCAGAAAATCTGAAGATCTTAAACTGGTCAAACATTCAATTGGCTCTCTCAAGATGGCAGATCGGTTAGGCAGTACTTAAAAGATCTCCAGCTGATCGAAGATTTTAATAAAGTCCTCTGGATATTTTTCAAGGCTTATTGATCAAGTATTATTGGCAGGTTGATCAAGTATTATTGTGAAGATATTCTCCCAAAACTGAACGTTGATCAGGAAGTATTCAAAAGATCCCCAGCTAATCAAATATTCCCGTAAAGTCCTGTGAATATTCATTTGGATCAAGTTTTATTCTGAAATATCCGATTTTGGCTACATTATTCATATTCAACATATTCAGGAAGAAGCTTAAAATATGAAATCAAAACTTCATTTATTTAACAAAAATCATCATATGCCAGCTCACAATTTAAAAAAAATCCATCGGAAGTCTGCTTCAGCTTCCGCATGTCTTGAAACAACTTCACGTACCATGAAATGTCTTCAAAATGTCTGCTTGAAAAAATACCTTCACAGGATTTTAAATGTCTTTGAAATGAAGATATGTCGTTAAATCTGGTGTCCCTAGTATTGAAAAACCCTCCTTTTTTAATCATTCTTCTAAAGAGATGAACATACATTTCAGAACATCGTTAAAAGAAATTAGAAACATACGAATATTAAGACAATTTACTATATTTATTGACTTCCCGGGATCCCGGAATTTCCCGGGATATCAAATAAATATTTCCTGAATCCCGGGATGGTGGAAGCCACCGGGAAATGGAAGCTTTAGCAATAAGCATGAAAAAATACCTTTTATATGAACCTTTAATTTTATATAGTTAGTGGTACCTGGTGATATTGGTTTGAATATAAGTTGGAAATTGAAATATAATGAGTTATCTTTTGAAATGATGAACATATTTAAAGCTTAAAGTTAATATTGCCTGCACTACTTAGTTTCGAACCAAAGATCTTTAGCTCCGTAGTCCTGCTGCGATCCTCGCTGGCATATGAGCACGTATATACGGAGCAATAATTTCAAATTATGATGCCTCGCTTGTATACGTGATTAAATCTAATTCGATCTGGTGTATTATATGATATCATTCCTCCTCTAGCTGAAACTGCTCAGAGCAGTGCAGATTGCATTATACAATCTTGTTCTGCATGATATATGACTTATTATCTTATATAATTTCAACTGTACATTAATGTGATTCGTAATGGACTATTAGACTAATTTGCAACAAACATGGTTCCCAGAGAAACAGCAATGAGTACAGACTTGGGTTTGGTTGGTTGGTGTGAAGTGCTCGTAATATCTGGAAGGTAGGTGATATTTGAGCATAACTACACCTACATAGTTGTGAGAGATTATGTATTCCAAACCCATCCAAAGAGATAGGTGGTCCAATGAGCGCATACGACGATGAATTTCTCTCGGAAACCACAATATTTACAATGGAAACCACAATATTATTTGCTAAAATTTCTTGCTTCTCGTTGACACTCCATTTAACTTTTTTAGCCATCGATCCGGTTCGCCTTGCATTGAGTAATTGCCGCAATACTCCTAGTTCCTTTTTTTTTTCTTTATTAAGGAGATTTTTAGCCGTAGGCTAGTTCATCTCCGTCACACTCCTAGTTCCAGTAAATGTTATGCATCGGCAATAATTACCGCGTTGATGATCTGGATATTTACCGTCACGGAATAGGTCATGAGCTCTCAGCTCCGCATCTACTTTTGGAAACACCATGGCTCTCCTATCTGGAGAATATTTCCCCTTGCTTAGTGCATTTAATCCATGTTTCCCGTTTAAGTTTTTAACGCTTTTTATAAATTTTCGAATTTTCAATTCAAAGTACTCCAGAATCCAAAAGTAACAGTAGCTCTTGTATCATCGGTGACAACAATTCATCAGAATCGCTCCATAGTAAATTCCGATAGTCATTGGCTGAATGTGCGGAAGATCATGAATATTGGCAACAATTGGCTGTTACTTTTTGTTTGTTATGGTCGAATATTTTGTTTTGACAATATGACTGAAACTGATCTTATGTACACATATATAAGATCATCAACATTTTTAAAATAGAACGCGTTAAATAAATCCTTATTGACATCAAACGCACTCATATATAATCTCGCAAAGAGGATTATAATTGAATCATAATTTTTCATCTTAAACAATTTCAACCAATTTGGAATTCCATCTGATGCAACTTCAACTTGATTTGGATATTTATACGATTTTAAACGAACATCCTTATACGATTTGTGGTTTGCTGGGCAACTCAGATCTATCATCGCTCGTTGCGGTGTCAAGTTCTGGTTCGTTGGTCACTGGTTCGTTTGTTTTAAATATTGTTGCCACTAACGTGAGCATTAAGTTGCATTCTTGATCGGGCTGTTCTCATAGATACGTCTTGGTCAGTCAGATGTTCCTGTGGTTTAGATTTGAAATTTTCAGATTGCTTGATGTTTTGATTAAGATATGGTTACTGAAACTGGGTGCTGCACGTAGGATTGTAATTGGCACTATGAGCAGTATTTATTTGGCAATTGAATCCGATCCTCAGGAATGCCAAGCTCAAACAAGCTGAAAAGGGCTGTTGGATTTTCTTTCGATTCCACCCTCCTGTTCGAGTCCAAGTATGAAGATACAATTAGTTACTAGAACAATAGTATTCTATCCAATATCGTGTCAAAAGAAATTGACTTTTCTGACACAGCTTAAAGAATGGAAATCCAATTTCGTGATGTAATTGATTTTCTTGTCCAACGTACTTACATATCTCCTTTTTCACTATCTATCTTCTTTCCCATCCAAAACAAATACAGGTTATTGGCCATTCGGTGTGACGTGGTGTAACATTTACGTAACGTGCGATGTGCTGGCCTGCTCGGCAAGCATTTTACACATGTGCTTCATCAGTTTGGGACGCTATCTGGGCATCCGGAATCCACTCGGCAGCCGGCATCACTCAACCAAACGCTTAACTGGCATCAAGATAGTACTGGTGTGGCTGCTGGCGATGCTAGTTTCGAGTTCGATTACCGTTCTAGGTAGGTTTGTGCCCTTATCAAAAGCAAAAGCAGCAGCAGCAACAGCAGGTACCACCTGTTAATCAATAATCTGCATGTTCTGTGATAATCACTTGGAATCAGTTTTAATTGCTATCAGCCTGGGATAAATTGTTCCACTTGCGCTCATGCTCCGTGTCGATGCCACGACGACCGTCAGCTGCTGCTTGTATACTTATTGATTAAGCCATTTTGTTAAACATTTCATCGATCCCACGCCATTAGGTATCATCAACAAGAACAACATCATGCCCGGTCCCCAGGAGTGCGTTATCAACAACCGAGCGTTCTTTGTGTTCGGCTCGCTGGTGGCCTTCTACATCCCCATGGTGATGATGGTCGTTACGTACGCTCTGACGGTACAGCTGCTGCGGAAAAAGGCCCGCTTCCTCGAGGAACATCCGGAGGGAGAACTGTTTCGAAGGTAAGGAAGGCACCGACCGGCTGAAATAGATGTGAAATTTACTCCATCTGTGCGGCTTTATCCAGGGGCATTCGGGGACGGAGACGTGGCTCGCTGAAAGTTCAAGCTAAATAAATTATTACTCAATTCTTATACGACATGGAAGGCTTTGCGCAACAAGTGATTAATAATGTATTTTAAAAATCCAAATTTAAACAGAGGCCTGAAGAATAACTTGTTTGAATTGAATAATTGAATGACACCTGAGACAGAGTTGTAGGGGAAAATAAAGTGTTTCTGGGAAAACTATACGCTGTAATTTGTTTTAAGTTATTTTGACTAAACATTCAAAAAAGTGTTAAATATTCAAATATCTCAAAATGCAAACTAATGGAATATTGAAAACTATGGAAATTCAAATATTGACAACAATTTCAAAACAAACACTTTTGGGCAAATTTTGTACACAGTCTGTTGCTATTGAAAAATAAAATTATATTTTTCTTTTGTAATAATTGCAATTTGGTCAGCTCTCGACTCTTACCAATTGTGACTGTGAAAATCAAACCAATTTATTTTGCAGATGCACGAAGGAAAAAGATAAAAAATGGAATAATGACATTTAAGTGAAAAGGCAACCGATATACTTTCAAAAATCACTTCAAAATAGTTACCATAATCTGAACATGTTCTGTTTCACCGGTGCAATACAACCGCTAAGCTTCGCATAGCTCTCCATTCCAATTGGTATAGAAAATCTAAAAAAAAACTAACTACCTCGTCCACTAAGTTACGAGAAAATCACGCATTGATTTGTTTTGTTAATCAATTTGAAATCAATCGCAGTTGTTTGAAGATTACTGCGATTTGTCTTTGCCAGACCCCCCAGACACATTTTACAGTCTAGGTCTGGCGAAGACAAATCGCAGTCATCTTCAGACTGCTGTCGTGGATGTTAAATGTATATGTGAAATTGATAAACAAAACAGATCAATGCGTGACCCTCTGGTAACTACAATTTAGTTGATGAGTTAATTATTTTGATTTCGTTTTTTGATACCAGGTGCAGCTACAAAGCAAGACCATGCTGGTGGTGGCTGGGTTCGATTCCCGATTTGTTCTAGAAATGTTTCAGTTTGGAAAATTTCTCGACTTCCCTGGGCATAGAGTATGATTGTACTTGCCACACAATTTTACTAATGCAAAAATGGTACAGGCATAGAAAGCTCTCAATTAATAACTGTGGAATGGCAGCTCGCAAACTGCTTGAAATCCGAAGAAGAAGCAGATTTGTTATAACACAGAATTTCAGCAATAGGCATTCCCGAAAACAAAACAAAAAACTACAAGGGGCAGCCCTATGGGGTTGTACGCAATGGTGACGTAGGACTACGTGGTCTTATATAATAAATCTTATTTGTTAACTGCAGCAGAAGCTTGTGTTTTGTGTAGGAATAGGAATTTGAGCGGGGTTCTCTCTGTTTATTCTCTTTAGTATGACGCGTTTGACAAAGATGGCCCGCAGCGACTCTCGAAGAGCTACTGATTCCGATCAATAGCGCTTCGGCTTTTTCCTCCTTTTATTAAAAAAAAAATGATGATTGTCCCACCTCTTACTCCTACAAAGGTTTGAGCTGGACGATTTATCTTTAAGATAATTAAATATGACATTTCAACCAGGTTAGCAAACAAAATCGAATTGGTAACTGTTACAGATATAAATTCCCTCTAGAGTTTACAGTTGCTTCACAGCGATATAAATGTGGAAAAGTTCAGGCGTCCTAAGAGGTGGCTCGCCTTTTTGTCCACCTAAAATATTCATAAGTATTACAAGCAATCAAGAGTTAGTTAACAATCAACAAAGCATCCTATTACACTAGCAACCCCGCAATCTGATGATTTCATAATTTTCAGGAATGTCAGGAATGCTCACGAACTCCCAACATTTGCCAGAAAACTTACTTCTAACTCAAGGTATCTTCCAAATAAGCTTCAAAATTGCATTTTTTTTTTTATCAAATGTCAAATTCAGTCCTCTATATCTGTAATACGCGCGCGAGGCTGAAACCTTTGTAGACTACTTTTTAAAATTAATCTAATATTAAATCAAAAATTAAAAATCCATCATCACCATCGTGGCGAACAGAAATAGTTTTTGCAGTGCTACAATAATTATTAAAAAAGTCGTTATGACAGCTATCCATATAAAATAATCCGTTAGAGATAACTTCGTCAAGATACATAATTTGTCAATTCATAAAAAAAATCACTGGATAACTGTTCAAAAGGCAGTTTTAACGTGTGAAATGCAGTGTATTTTAAATTCTGTAAGTGTTGCTGAACGTTTGATATGTCTAGGCATCGAATTGAAAACATTGAATCCTTTAAAATTGAATGAATTTTGTGAAGCACAAGTTAAGAAATGTGGAAAGCTGCGTTTCTAGTATTATCTCTATGAAAGTCACTTCCTCTTTCAATTCGATCACACAAATATCGAGGCAGCAAATCGTTAACTACTTTAAAAATGAACACCATAGTCAAATATACAATTCTTTACTTCACCGACAACCATTGTAAGGCGTCTAGCATCAAAGTTGAGGAAGTGAATCTATTACATCTCAAAATCAAACGCATTATTTTACTCTGCAAGCGCTGAAATCTCGATATTTGTGTTGCATTGGCCAGAAATAAAATGGAAGGGCAAAAGTCTAGATGAGGAGATATGATTGATTTGTATAGTTATATTTTACTGGCAATATTTAAATCGCAATATTTAAATCGTTTTTCAGGCGACAAAGAATTCCATACTTCTTGGCAATTTATTTAATCTCCCGAACGCGATCAATAGCCTCATCATAATTTACAAGAGAGACGTTCTCATTAACTCGATTCCGCGAAATTACCATAAATTTAGTTTTACTTGTATTCAATTTCAACTGCTTATACTTCAACCATCTACTTAGAGAACGCAAATCTTCATTCAAGTGTAAAACGGCATCAATTTAATCCTTAGCTGCAATGAATAACAAAATCGTAAAACACGTCGCAAGTCATTAATATACATAATAAATAACAGGGGCCCTAATACACTTCCCTGGGGTACTCCAAGGTTATTCCCGACTGGACTGCAAACAGAATCATTAAAAACAGTCCGTTGAGTTCTGTCAGACAAATAGCTTTCAAACCATTTATATGCATTACTCGTAATTCCAAAGCGCTTGATTGATCTTAACAATAAGGGCATAGAAATTGTTTCAAAAGCGCGTTTAAGATCCAAAAAAACCGCAACAATCGTATTTTGACATTCCAAGTTATTTTTCTACTTCGCTAATACCAAATTCAACGCGGTTTCAAAAGAATGACCTTCCCGATATCCCGATTGTTCTGGTATCAACAAACTATTACTATTTAAATACTCCAACAGCTGGCCTTCAACAACAGGTTTTAAAATTTTCTCTAATGTGTGCAACATGTTGATGGGACGAAACTCTTCGGCTTTAATCGTTCCAGCAACTTTTTGAATGGGGGCGAGCTTGGCGTAGTGGTTAGCATCCATACCACTCACGCCAAAGTCACGAGTTCAAATCTCACCCCCGGACAAGTCACGAATGACCCAAGAACGTTAAAATGACTATAATTAAAAAAAAAAAAAAAAAAAAACTTTTTGAATAGGGACCACTAAGGATTCCTTCCAAATTTGTGGTACATGTCCAGTTTGTAATGATTCATTAATAAGGTCCAGCAAGATGTGGCCAATGACATGAAAGCAATCTAGAATAACTCTAGCATTAACGTTATCTACTCCAGCCGATTTTCCTAATGAAAAACAAATAACTCTAAGTTCGCCTAATGTAATTGGGTGAAAAACTTCAAATCTCAACTACTTTTAACTGGCTGTTTTATTTAGTCAGGTTCATCGACCAATTCAATGGATTGAATAATCAATGAAACACTTTCGACAAAATAATCTTTAAACTTAGATGCAATTACTTGTTCTGACTGTTCTAATGTGCCATTAAAAGTTATGAGCCGCGGTTTGCAATTACTAGGTTTTAATAAAGATTTCAAAATTTTCCATAACTCTTTGCTGTTGTTTTGATGCTGATCAATCTTCCTTTGAACAAATTCACAACGAGTTTTCTTTACCGATTGTGAATACTTATTACGCACGATTATGTGATTGTCATTATTAGATCTACAAAACTTTTTGTACCATTTGTCCCTTTTCCGTTTAAGACGCAAAAGATCCAAATTGTACCAGCTGTTTGAGTTTTTCAAAGAAACAAAATTTTGCTCAACTAGTTGATTGGTACACGTTTTCAAAGCATTATTAAGATTCATCTAAGTTTCCGGCCGCGAATGAAAATCCACGCTCCTCTCAACAAGATTCGAAACAGCTTGCTTCGGATATTTCCTCCAGCACTTCAATCATACAAAATTATCGTTATCGTTAGCATGGTCTAAGACATTAATCACTAAGGTCTCATGATCGGTTATTTCCAAATCAGTAGCCGTTACTGAACAAATGGAATCAAAAGTGGAATAAACGTGGTCAATTAAAGTGCTACTGTGCCTCGAAATACGCGTATATTCATTTACCGTTTGCTTTAAATTAAAAAAAAAACTGAGCTAAATGCTTCAAATGATTAGAATTATGGTTATCATGCCAATTATTATTAAAATGGATTTTATGGATGCTCATGTGGGCTGCAGCTCACTGCTTGCAGGCAGCCTTTCGTTGTGTACTGGAGAACACCACCACTCACCACACGGTGATTGAATAAACACCGTTCGGTGAGACCGCATGGAAATCAACATTGAAATCTGTGCTAGGGAAATCGTTTTTAGCAGGCAATCGGTGATATCATAGTAAGAGTTGCACATTCGTGCTATTTTCAATGGTGATATTTTTAAAAATGATAAAGTCTTAAATTTAACAGATACGTAGAAATATTTCTGATCGATTGGTGATCAAATTATTGACATTGCTCCAGGGGTAGCTGAGTTATTAATGTTTAAAATCTTTCATAATTTGGTTGCATGTTCCATTTTCGGTATTCACAAAGTTACCCCGATATAGAAATCACAGACGTAGTCCTACGTCAAAACATAAAAAACACGACTAGCTAAAATTATTTGGATACGAACACTTGTTTTATTGTAAGTAATCGTAGAATCTTCGAAAATTAAATTAAAAATTGTAGATCCACGAAGAAGGTCCAAATCCGAGACTGCCAAGCCAGAATCAGAAAGATCAATGCATAATTATTAGGTCGTAGATCAGTAACCTAGGTTTGTTTACGTTTGATGAAGCACAGACTTTAATCCGCCCCCCCCCCTTCCACACTAAAAAATGCTAAGACATTTATACAATTTCCCTTGTGAACTTCACAGTGAAGGTTTTATACGAAAATATGCATTTTGTACATGCTTGTATGCTGCAATCTATTGCAAGAACTGCCATAACATTTGTTCTATGAAACTTATGCAGATGATGTTATAAATCCAACCTTACATTGGATGTAAGCGAATCTTGTTTGCATGATGTGGAGGTTACGAAACAAAAGTCACAGCTCCGATTGTTCTCGTTGACTACGGGGTTGACTTTTGATAGCGTTGTTGCCAAGTTACCCTTCTTGTCTGACTCGATTGCATTTTATCACACACCCACAAACATAGCAAGTAATTTGACATTCACAGCGGAATACAAAGTAAACCTTTTCTATTCCTAGACTAGGCGGCCGCTTGTCCAAGACGAAGCAAACATCTACCGGAAACGGCGGAAGCGGAGGCATTGGCACCCAAAGTGATGACTTGGTTTGCTTGCCCTTGAAACACCCTCTGGAGAGGCGACAGAGCAATATCAACAACAACAGTAAACTGCTACCTTATGGCGGGACATCACCCTGGCGACTTCATGGGCCCAGCTCCGACAGGTAGGTAGGTAGCATAAGAGTTTGCCGTGGATGAGGGACACCTTGCTTTCCATCATACTTAGAATGCGACCAGTGCACAATAATGGTTTCAAAGCCGTTTTTAGGAAGACAAAAATGTTTGCGCTTGTAGGACCATCATTTAAAGGTAAATGGTGTCTTCGGAAAAGTTGGTGTCAGAGGAATTAGGGTGGTCCCTATATTTATTGAGCTTGTTCAAAATATCAACTTTGAAGTTATTTGAGATGGGCCAGAATAATGTTCGACACATTTAATTCTTCAGCAAAGTTGCTTCTAACAAATTGCGATACACACTCAATTTATTCACCGAATGTTTTATAAGTAAGTTTTCCTGAGATCTCAGCAAACATGAGGAAAAAAACTATCCTGAAATTCTGCAAAACATATTCTGAGACTCAGCAACTAAACGTCACTATTGCTGAGATTTCGGCAAAATATGCTCAACAGTGCAAATCTCGAAAAAAAAAGTAGCAGAGATTCGGTTCAAACAATTATTTGTAAACACAACAAAGCTCGAAAAAGTTTTAGAAACTAATTTCTGAAGCAACTTTTATTCAAATAGTTTTCTTTGTTTCAAATTCAAATAAAATTACATTTTATTTTAACCTAGGTGCTCTAGCTACTACAGTAACTATCCAGCCTTAATTGTTATGATACATATTTAAGTGTTTTTACATTGTTCCTGCCTTGGTAATTCAGTAATTAAAAAAAGGTTTTTTAAACCTGCATGTCAGTAAAACAATTGAAATCTTTAAACTAAAAACTAAAACTAAATCTTATCTTGGTATAAAGGGAATCAATCGTTGCAATTGAGGATTGCAACGATTTTTGCCTGAAATTATTAATTATTTTGTTGGAAATTTGTTCTAGAGTCTCAACATTCGAATTCAATGTACCGCGGTAGTACCATACAGGTAACTCTAAGACTAGAAGGTCCCGAAATAACGTGCTCAACTTTTTGGCTCAGCTCTGGTACTCTCTTCGGTCCCAAGCTAATCGATTCACCCCTCGAAACATAGGAAAATCCCCTCAAATTATTTGTCAAACTTTCATAGCGAATCAAAACAAACATTGCGTAGTACTAGAATTTCGACTAGGATGGGGTACGTTAATCGTTTGCTTGGGACCAATAGGCTAGTCAAGTAGTGAGCCAAATTAAAATCGTTAGTTTCGTATTGATTGTTGGTAGTACTGTACCAAGAAGGCAACTTCAAAATCATCTTCAAAATTTTGTTCTAAATCCTTTGAAGTACTTTTTCCTGCTAGTGCAACAGCTAGACCATATTGCCACAGCGTAAAGCATCGCCGGTCTAAAAATTTGTTTAAATATTAGAAGTTTGTTCGTCAGGCAATGTTTTAATTTCCTGTTTATACGAGCATACAAACATTTTATATATTTGTTACATTTGCCTTGAATGCCCTCAATGTGATCTTTAAAAGCTAATTTTTGATCTAGTACTAATTCAAGATATTTCACTTGGTTTGACTAGGAAATTAGAACTCCGTTCATAGTCTATTGGCTCATAAATTACACCTCTAGTAGCATCTCTCCTAGATTGTCACAATACTGCTGATCTTCTGCAACGGAACGGGATCTTCAATGAAAATCATAGACTTCTAGATCTATGTTTCCTTAGCGGTGAACTCGCTTCTAATTGCTCGGTTCAAGAGGCACCCGAACCACTAGTTAAACGTTGTAGACACCATTACACTTGTATCAGGCTTGCACTTTTCGAGTTACCGTGGACAGTGTATCGTATGACTACAGTAGGACTGACTTCGAGGGAATGGCAACCTTTTTCGAAAACATCAGCTGGGACGATGAACTCCGAGATCGTGACGCGAATGCTTCCTATTCTATTTTCTCGCATATTGTCGTGTATGCGATCGACCAGTTTGTACTCATGACAACTCCACCCATATCTAGTAACCTTCCTTGGACCAACCGCCGACTCAAGCGGCTGAAGTCATCCAAACGAGCTGCCTTGAAGACATTTTGTAAGCTTCGAACGGATACCTCGAAGAGGCAGTACAACCTCGTCAAGAAACAGTATAAGTGGTTCAACAAACAGCTTTATCAAGCCCATCAGCGCCATCTACAAACTAAACTCAAAGCAAATCCCAAGAGCTTCTGGAATCATGTGAACGATCAACGGAAGGAATCGGGCTCACCTTCTACAATGTACAATACGGATCAAGAAGAATCAGATACGGAGGGAATCGCTGACATGTTCATGTCACAATTCAGCAGTGTCTTCGTCAAAGAAAATTTACCTAACGAGCACATCGTAGTCGCCGTAAGTGATGTTCCCGTACTTTTTGCTGATGGGTCGCATTCGCCTATCTCGACTAATGATGTTCGTAGAGCAGGCCTTCGTTTGAAAAATTCTTTCAGCACTGGCCCTGACGGAATCCCTTCCGCGGTTATTAAGAACTGTATTGGAGTGCTGGCCGCACCTTTAGCACCCATCTTCAACCTCTGCCTCTTTGGATTCTGGGCTGGAAGGATTCTTTTAATTTTCCTGTCTTCAAAAAAGGCAATAAGCAGTCGGTGTCCAACTACCGTGGTATCGTTGCCTTATGTGCAGTCTCAAAACTTTTTGAACTATTGGTGTTAGATTATTTAAAACACACATGCTCTAGTTACATCGCGACTGAACAACACGGATTTATGCCGACGAGGTTGACCGCTACAAATCTCGTTCAATACACATCATCAATCATACACGAGATGGAAAGAGGTCATCAAGTGGATGCTATCTACACCGATCTTTCTGCTGCTTTTTTTTATAAAATCAATCACGAGATGGCAGTGGCCAAACTAGAGTGACTCGGTTTTCACGGTTCCCTTCTTGATTGGCTTCGTTCATATCTCACCGGTCGACATATGTCAGTGAAGATTGGAGATCATTTTTCTCAACCGTTCGCTGTTTTTTCTGGTGTACCTCAAGGCAGTCATCTGAGACCTTTCATATTTTTGTTGTACTTTTCGATCCGTTGCCTGAAGCTGTCTTATGCTGATGATTTCAAACTATACTTTGTCATCAAAGATCGAAGTGATGCATTGTTTCTTCAGCAGCACCTGGACGTTTTTACTGTTTGGTGTGACAAGAACAGGATGGTATTAAATGCTTCTAAATGTGCCATTATAACGTTTTCCAGGAAAAAAAATCTATTCGTTATGCTTACAGCCTGCAGGAGCAAATATTAAACCGTGAATCAACCATTAAAGACTTAGGCGTCCTAATTGATTCACAACACACCTTCAAGGACCATGTGGCTTATGTTTCCGCAAAGGTGTCTTCTTAACTTGGTTTCATTTTTCGTTTCACCAAAGGCTTTAGGCACATTTTCTGTTTAAAAACACTCTATTGTTCGCTAGTCCGCCCTACATTAAAGTACTGTTCAGTAGTATGGGCTCTTTTTTACAGCAACGGGTGAATCGTATTGAGGCCATTCAGCGAAGATTTGTACGTTTCGCCCTACATTGGCTATCCTGGAGTGATCCTTTCAATCTCCCTAGTTATGAAAGTCGCTGTAATTGGATGTCCCTACAGTTACTTAGTGTTCGCCGAGGCGGAACGGAAACGGAAAGTTTGACAGTTGTCACAAATGAAATCAAGATGCCTAACCGAAGTCGATTTGATTCTAACTAGTTTTCAATTCGACAAGTAAGCTTACTCAGCTCGGGCTTTTCCGCTTCGGCTGCCATTCCGCTTCCGCTGTCATTGCGCTTGGGCCTTAAAGCTACCTTCATCGCTGATCTTCTACGTTCTGACATAAATTGCGGTTCACTTCTGCAGCAGTTGAATGTCAATATCAGAAGCGTAAATTTACGTTCTTATTATTTTTCAATATCAAGGCATAAACTACGGCGCTAATGAGCCGCTAACTAGCATGTGCAAAATTTTCAACAAATGTTATAACTGCTTTGATTTTAATATCTCCCGTGTTAGGCTTAAGGTGCTACGATACGTCATACTTTTTTTCTCTCCTTTCTATGTGTCAGTGAATTGATTATCATTGATGCTGTAGTGGTGTGAGTGTACATCATGCACTACCGAAACTACCGAGAACATAGCTGCTAGAGTTCGTTATTATTAGGTCGAATGTGTAACAGTTGATAAAAAATAAGAAAGGTAAAGAATAAGTTGTACCCATCTTACTATAAATTTCAACCTTCGTCATTTTTAAAAAGGTAAAGATATCTCTTTATCATCCAATATTAGGGTGTTTCGCTGTGGGATCCTTATTCTCGTAACCACTTCGAAACTTTAAGTGCACAAATATCAGCTTCCTCGAAACGTACCACATTGGAACTGGTACTTCACGTTTGCTGACCGGCAGCAAACATGAAGTAACAATTTCAGGTGAAATGGTGCATTAATTTTCGAGATCTGTGTAATTGAAAATTCGTAGTGGAAGTGCATGTATAGCCTACGTGGCGGCCATTTGTGGACTCTACAAGGAATCACCTTAAGACTATCACTACATTTCTATTCAATTTGCCAATATTATCGACCTACCACCTCCTAGGACACCCCTTCCTATGCAGAAAATAATTATGCGCCTAGCCACTAAAACCAACAAGTCAAGTCATCATAGTAGTTAATTGATTCAACATCACACTTTGTACAATTTGGTTACATACGACCTGTCCAAAAGTGATTCCAGAGCTCACACCTCCAGGTACACGGTAAGAAAAAAGATCCCAAAGTGACTCATTTTCACAAATCTTGGCACTATATTGCAGGAAGCCAAAAGTAGGTAATGTGGGTCGAAGAGTTTTCATTTAATTGTGTTCAATTAGTATGGAATTGACAGTTCGCTTCTACCCAAAAATAGTTAATTGTACCCAAAAGTAGGTGAACAAAGTCAAAAGTAGGCAAAAATGAACTGGCCGCTGGATATTTTTTCTTATCGTGTATGTTTTTGTTTCTGAATCATCCTTTTGCCGCCTTCTGCATATCAGCTGATGGCTT